AATAAGTCACCTCACAAGTAGCTTGGAGTGAAAATGTCAAACTCCTCCAAATACAGCTCTAACTCCAACACCTTTACCCACCAATGATCCACTTCCATAAATTCTCAAATTACTAAAATACCCCAAAAAAGTCAAACTAGTCAACCCTTGGTCAAAGTCAAAGTCAACGGTCAATGTCAACAGTCCATGTTGACCCAAATCGTCGAGCACAACTCACTGACTCGTCGAGTCCTTGCAGAACTCGAGAAATCGTGAAAACCCTAGTTAACTCACTGAGTTCCCAACTAACTCGTCGAGTCCATGCGATGTCCAAATGTCGGGAAAAACCTTAACTAACTTGTCGAGTCTTCTCACTGACTCGTCGAGTCCATACAGAACTAATACTGGCAATCTTCATCCGACTCGTCGAGTTGTCCATGCAACTCGTCGAGTCCCGTCAGTCCATTACTCATTCAGATGTTTTTAAGCTACCCCAAAGCTCCAAATTGCAGATCTAACCTCCTAGGGCATGGTTGCAACTTTACGTATATGCAAGGTCCTAAATGTCAAAACCAAGCTAAAGGAGGGGTTTTAGCCAAAGAGAAGGGCCAATGCTTGATAAGTTCAGTGACTTTATAACTCTAAGGACTTAAAGGAGTCTAGATCTGAAGTTACAATTCCATATCTTACCCAACACCCGAAATGCTCCACAAATATACTAAAAATGGCCTTAAACCTAAAAAAAGGGGATATGATGCTAGAATGGTCATGGTAACAGCTTTTTACCTTCAAATGGATGCGTAAACGTTGTAGATGTTGGATCTACAAGCTCCTTCCCCGTTCCAAGCTTCTCAACCTTCAAACTTCTTCAACAAAATGCACCAAACACTCTTTTAGTTTCACAAGCACAAGGAAACAACAAATAACGACTAGGGTTTCTTCTATGAGCCAAGTGGTAAGGGAGGCCACAAGAGGCAGATTAAGTCCTTTATATAGGGTGCAAACCTTAAAAATTAGGGTTTCATTTTCCAGCTCCTACTCGCCGAGTCGGGGTCTTCCAACTCGTCGAGTAGACCTCATAAATCACGTGGATTGATTCGCTTCTACACGACGAGTTGGGCGCAACCAACTTGTCGAGTAGGTCTAAGAATATGACTTTAAGCTTTTAAATTTTATACATGGGAGTTGGGGTGTTACAGATAGTTGTCATCTTGACATATGGTTAAAAGATTTCATTGTAGTTAACCCCCTGTGTTTTGAGTGTATCCTTTAACTACTAGACGTCCTTTGCATCTTTCAACTTCTCTATTTGCCTTGTAATTAACTTTGTACACCCATCAAAAACTTATAAGCTTTTTGCCTTTAGGAAGATATGTGATTGTCTAGGTATGATTAGATTCAAAGCATCAAACTCTTTATTCATAGCTTCTATCCATTCAGGAAACTTAATTGCCTCTTCATAACTTTCTGATTCGACAATTTTATTCATTTTTTTTTACTAGATTCTTACTTTTATCATTAAGTGAAGTAAAAAAAATATGGTTGGAAGAAGATACATTAGTGATTGTATAGGTGCATGACGTGAAATGCATTCCCACAAAAAAATATTGTAAACGAGGAGTAGGAAGATGATGAGTTCTTGTAGATCTTCGAGGCATGAATAGAGAGACAACATGTAAAGAATTTGGATGAGGAGTGTTATCAATAATAGTGTCATCATTATTAGGAAATGATGCATCATGATCATATGTTTCATTGATTTCTTGTTGTGTAAAAATGAGATTTGGAACATGATTTATTGATTGATAAGGGGAAATATTTTTCATGGAAATGAACATAGCTTGATATGACAACCTTATGAGTTGACATGTCCTATACTTTGTAAGCCTTCTTAGCCTTTACCAAATGGATAACCACTTAAACACATGGTAAAGCTATTGGTTTGAAACCGTAAAGAACAAAGAATGAAGTTTGACATTTGAGGAGTTTTGATGAAAATCTATTGATGTGATACTTTGTTGTGAGACTACACTCTCCCAAAAACTTTAAATGAAGGTTTTATTGAAACAATAATGCAAGGGCTATTTCAAGTGTTTGTATTTATGCTTCACCACTCCATTTTGTTGGGAAGAAATTCGACAAGTCGTTTGATGCAATATTTATTATTTTTGTAAAAAAGATGATGCTTCGTTGCTAGAACCAAGCTCAAAAACATCAAAAACATTATAGGTCTTTTCATCTTGATTTTCTTGTTGAATTGGGTTTTAATCATTGCTATAATTCCTTTAATGATTTGAAACACATTGCTCCTTGTACTCATCAAATGTGTCTAAGTTGTTCTAGAGAAATCATCAACCAAAGTTAAGAAATAAGATTGACTTTTGTAAGTTTTTGTGTTGTAAGGTCCCTAATCGTTTAGATTGGAATGTTTGATATTGTTCTTTTATTTGCGATTGTACTAATATTCTGCAATTTTCTTTCACGTCTTTTTAGTTATTTTTAATAATATCCACTGTTCAGAAAAAATATAAAAATATTTTTGTACTGAAAGATGATGTTTTCATTTAACATCTCTATTAATAAATTAATAATTAAAAAAAGTATAAATAATAGTCGTTGCGTCCAATTTTGTCAATCAAACCGTTTGCGGTCTGTATTTCATCATTGCTGAAAAGAATCTTTTCTTGAAAGTCCAACTATATTTTTCTTATTATTTCAGGTACATAAATCCCTATCATATTTGATATTCCCTGTTAATGAATGAATATTTTATTCATTATTTATAATTATTTACAATCAAATATATCCTAGACTCCTAGTAAAACAATTGAGAAACAAATATATCTTAAAAATAATTTTTATTTTTAAAATTATTAATTTGATAGACGTATTCAAGGACAAATGATGTAATCCAGTTATTTATTTTTATCAAAATATAAGTAAAAATGTTTTTTTTTTCTTTCAGTTTATACATTCATAATTCAAAACAAAACAAAATAAAATAAAAAATAAATAGAAATGTGTCATATTAAGATGCTCCACTCATTCTTATCAGTCCACTCCACTCACCCAACAAGTAGTAAGAAGCAGAGTACCAAACACGCCCAAAACACACAAATCCGCCATGGAAGCTCTGATTTCTCAATTCACTTTTCTCTCCGATCAATCTCTCCATGATAAAAACTTCGATCCATCAACGATCGAAGATCTGATGAAACTATTCGAGCTGGAATCATACAAATCATGGGCGGCGATGGAGCTGGAACATGAGACAGAAGTGGCAGCGGCTGAGGATTCGATGAAAGAAGCGGAAGATTACCTCGATTCCGCCATGGAAAGCGCAATGGAGGAGTTCAGAAGGTTCGAGGAAGAGATGGAACGCGAAGCGAACAAGGAGCTACAGGGATTGTTGTCGATCGGAGAAAGTGCGAGGAGGTTGGGGAAATCCATGGAGAAAGCGGCAACTTTCGCTTCTAACAAGTATATTGAGGCGGCGTTGAATTCCGCAACGTCGTCGATGAGATCGGCGATGAAGGTGGTTTCCTCTAATTCAAAGAAAGTTCATCCTTCTTAAATGTATTCTATCATTCGTCTGTAAGCCAATTCCTGAATCAGCTTATCTGCAATCTGTTATGTTGTTATGGTTAGTCAAGACATCTATGGAAATCTATTTGAATTATTTACATTCTGTCAACAAAACCTGTGTTAGTGTGTTGTGATTCGTGAATACTGTAAGTGTATTTTGAAGAAATAACTTATGAGTGATGATGACGATGATTCATTTTGTACAAGTTTCATGGATCCTTGATGTTAAGTAGATCCATGTAACCAGAAGATGAGCTGATAAGATTTACCGTAGAATTATGAATTTGCAAAGCTGAGTAGAAAGGTTCACTGACTTCAGCACATGTCCTGGGCCCTTAAATGTTACTCCCATTATTCTTCCAAAAAAATAATTATAGTCTAGTAAAAATATATGATTATTATTAGGAATAATATAAAAAGTATATTCCCAACATGATCGATTGTTGTTGGAGGATTATACAAAATAACCAAAGATTTTGCAATCCATAAAAATAGACCATCTAATCATATATGGATCATTTCGGATCCGAGGACCACCGAAGGGTAGAACCCGTTTATATGGTCATCCTATTTAAAGAGAATCTGGAATGTGTTATCCAACACACTGAAGAACAACATTTTGGATTATCTTAAGGATTTCATCGAACAAAATATGTATTCGCAATTAAATATGTATTCAGAAAAACCAATGTTTGAGATGAAAACTCTTTCCGAAATCCGTATTTTTGTATGTCTTTTGTAGTATTTGTTATATGAGTCATGTTCGATTTTGTATTTAGGTCAAGATATAAGTAGAATGTCTTAACTCTTATTAGTCAATCTAAGTTCTTTTGCCAATTCTATCGCACCAACATTCATAACATATCTTTGTAGGTCTTTGATTGCATGTTTTTGGATACTTGCATGCTTTAGGTTTGTCCTACCTTAATGCTATTTTGGTGGGACAAACTTAAAGCATCTTTTGTTGACAAAATGTAAACAAACCTAAACAATTACACTTTTAATGAAATTTGTTTCCTTCATGCAAATTGGTATATATATATATATATATATATATATATATATATATATATATATATATATATATATATATTTGTCGTTTACCCGTGCTAAGCGGCGGTGACGAATTGTGTCTGGGCGATGATTAATTCATTTAAGTGAATAGTTTCCTTGAGACTATCAAATTAACCCATAAAAATCATTAAGCATTTGCATCCAATATTTATTTGTGTATTTGTATGTGAAAAAATCATTAAGTGTTAACTCGTTTGATCATCAAATATTTTCCTTTTGGCGATTTGTTTGCCTTTGGTGACGGTGAATAAGGTTTTTTTCTGTGATAAGTTTTCTTTCCGTGAATAATTTATTTTAGAAGTATTTCATATTACAAAGAACTTAAACTGTATCAGAAAAATAATTTATCTTCGTTTGTTTCAATTTACAATTTTTTGTTTTCTGAAAATAGTTTGTTTTAAGTTATTATACACCTCATTGTAACCGATATTTGGAATCGACGAAAAATGTGTTGAAATAACCCTTGAAATGAGTTGTTATAACCAAGTAAAATTTATACCAAACTCACTAGGAGCCATAAGTGAAATTTACACAAATAAGACAAGTAACGTCGCAAATCCTTTATATTTCATTTCGGACAAATAACGTTTCAATAGGAAGCAATGAAAATATGAGCACAAAGAATGCAACATCAATTAGTATTTTTTTGGTGGACGGTGAATACTATAAGTGGTTTAGTTTTAAATGGATGGTGAATAGTTTTCATTTCAACGATTAGTTTCTATCCGGTAGTGGGCGATCGATTAAATAGTTTCCCTTATTAAAATAGTTTATTTTCAGAAACATGTCATTAAAAGTGGCAATGAAAGAACATTGTTGCTAAAAAAACATGCATTTTGTATTAGTTTCTTGGTCAATTCAATTGGACGGTTTTGTATTTATGGGATTTCATTTAAGTTAGTATGGTACTATTGGTCATGTATACAAAAGCAATGATTAGTTTCTAAAAATATATCATAAATACATTAAGGATTATTTATTTTCTTCCGATAGATTTCATATGGTTATGTAGGTGTTGTTTGTTTTTTTAAGATGTAAAAAGTCTGCAGTCTACAGACCATATCTGTAAACATCTGAAGAAGAAAAGGTGGAACAAATGTCTGTGAGGGTTTATGTCTGCGCGGTGTGGTCTGCGTGGCGCAGACAGAAGTGGTCACGCAGATCTGCAGGAAAAAAAACAAACACCATCTTAGAATATGACTTTAACAACTTTTATGTTATAAATTGACAACTTCATCTTTTTTTAGATATTTATTTGTACATTTTTTTTTTTAAAATGATGGCTTACTATTGAGTGTCATGTTAAGTAAATAAGTTTAAAAATATAATTGAGTTTTAGTTTAGTCTTGAAAGTGAAAGAAGTTTAAAAAACAAAAGGTTATTTACCATTTATTCATTACGATAAACATGTATGAACGAAAACATGTCAAAAAGCAACAACGAATATAATTTATGCTTTTGGAATCCATTTACCATGGATATGTTTTCACTTTTATACACACGCAAATTGTGTGCAGTATGCATTGGTCCAAAAGTACACTGATCGGGATTTAAAGAAAAAAAATACAATTTTAGAATTAAAAAAAAAAATAGCCAATTCAAATTTTATAAAATAATTGCATGTAGCATTTACAAGCTGTTTGGTCATTCTAGCATTGTTTATACATAAGGTGTTGAAAGTTTGTAATGTTATATCCTACCACTTTTGAAGTATATTGCTTAAAAAGATGTATTGTAAGAAAATGAAAACATGAAAACAAATAGGGAATATATAAGCGACATTCACAAGGAATCCCAATGAATCAGATAATCTGAGTCATGAACAGTCGAATAATGCAATAAGTAAATTAATAGAGCAGATCTCAATAGACATGTATAAGCACAAGACTTGAGTTGACTTTATATTAGCTTGAACATTCTCTTTTGTTTACACTCCACCTCCATTACCTATAAATTGAGATTCTTACTGCACAATAGTCATAAGAGCTGAAGAAATGAATCAAATGCTATTAGTCCAACATACACTTTTGACGCCCAATATAACATATCCCATATCAAACATGAATGCCCAAAAATACTCTTCATTATTAATGAAAAACCCGGACTATTTGTGATTATTTTTTTCCTGCAGATCCGCGTGACCACTTCTGTCTGCGCCACGTAGACCACACCGCGCAGACATAAACCCTCACAAACATTTGTTCCACCTCTTTTTCTGCAGATGTTTGCAGATATGGTCCGTAGACTGCAAACTTTTTGCATCTTAATAAAACAAACAACACCTACATAACCATATGAAATCTATCGGAAGAAAATAAATAATCCTTGATGTATTTATGATATACTTTTAGAAACTAATCATTGCTTTTGTATACATGACCAATAGTACCATACTAACTTAAATGAAATCCCATAAATGCAAAACCGTCCAATTGAATTGGCCAAGAAACTAATACAAAATGCATATTTTTTAGTAACAATGTTCTTTCATTTTTAATGACATGTTTCTGAAAATAAACTATTTTAACAAGGAAACTATTTAATCGATCGCCCACTAGTGGATATAAACTAATCGTCGAAATGAAAACTATTCACCATCCATTTAAACTAAACCACTTATAGTATTCACCGTCTACCAAAAAAAAATACTAATGGATGTTGCATTCTTTGTGCTCATATTTTCATTGCTTCCAATTCAAACGTTATTTGTCCGAAATGAAATATAAAGGGTTTGCGACGTTACTTGTCTTATTTGTGTAAATTTCACTTATGGCTCCTGTTGAGTTTTGTATAAATTTCACTTGGTTATAACAACTCATTTCAAGGGTTATTTCAACACATTTTTCTTCGGTTCCAAATATCGGTTAGAATGAGGTGTATAATAACTTAAAACAAACTATTTTCCAAAAATAAAAAACTGTAAATTGAAACAAACGAAGATAAATTATTTTTCTGCTACAATTTAAGTTCTTTGTAATATGAAATACTTCTAAAATAAATTGTTCACCAAAAGAAAACTTATCACAGAAAAAAACCTTATTCACTGTCACCAAAGGGAAACAAATCGCCAAAAGGAAACTATTTGCTGATCAAACGACTTAACGCTTAATGATTTTTTCACATACAAATACACACAAATAAATATTGGATACAAATGCTTAATGATTTTTATGGGTTGATTTGATAGTCTCAAGGAAACTATTCACTTAAATGAATTAATCATCGCCCAGACACAATTCGTCGCCGCCGCTTTGCGCGGGTAAACGACAGTGTGTGTATATATATATATATATATATATATATATATATATATATATATATATATATATATATATATATATATATATATATATATATATATATGACATCATAACTTCAAAAGTTTTTTTGATTAAAAGCTTTGATATGTAAAATTCATAAAATGTTTTCCACGTGTATGTTTGATTATTATTTTGTTTGTAGAATATCATTCTATGATTTCTATCTGAGATTGTGTAAAACCGTTATTGACTTGATTGTGTGACTTTCATGCTTGTAGTTTTGTGTTACCTTAAAATGTGTGTCAATCATCAGAAGGAAAGTTTATTGTCAAAATTTTGTTTATTTTTATCCCTTTTCCGAACTTTAGAAATTATATGATATTTCATGCCCTTGAGACTGCTTTCATGCTAAAATTGATGATATCCGTCATCATATGTGTTTATGTGGTAAATTAAGCGTTCGATTTAAATAAACTAATTATGAACAACATGGATAACAAAATAAACAAACCTAAACAATTGGCTACCATTAGATCTAACAATGGAACATTATAGCATAATATCAACCAACACATATTAGACTATGAAACAATTACGTGAGGTGTTAATTTGGATATTGTAGTTTTGAGTATCCATGAAATTGTAGTAGTTAAAT